TGCAGTAACCCCAAAAAAACAAACACTATAAATCTGCGCAGATCAGCTCAATAGCACAAACAATCCCCCAAGGAAGCTATATGGAACCCAACATATGAGACAAATTGAACCAGTGTAAGTTCCTCACTGTTTTGGTGACCTTGTTATCGGTAGAAATGACACTGCGAGTCCCAGGAAACAGTTGAAAGGAGTCGATGCGATCGCTAGAACAAGAACATTAGTCACCTGACGCTTCGGACTCCTGCTCGAAACCATCGGTGACGATTAAATATTTAGCCCCGCGCAGACTTTACTTCCATGAAATATCCACATACGCCATTTTCGTAGCCCTAATTTGATCCCCTTCATTCCCCACCACGTCTTCCTCGACGGTTTATATCCCGGGTTGGTATTCGACTTAGGCCTATTGCTTAGGCTTCTAATGTCAACGTTGATTATAATATTTAGTCGCGGCCACCTCCAGAGTCAGAATTAATTATATATTCATTAAGGATGACTTGTATGGCCACGTAAACAGGACACAGGAACAGGCCACAATAAATGTGGCTTTGGGTCAAATTCCGGGGAAATTAAGTTTAGGATTAAGGTCAGGGTTAGGTTTAAGGTTGAGGTTAGAGTGAAGGTTCGGGTTCATGTTAAACTTAGGGTTTATGTTTAGGTTGGGGCTAGGTTTAGGATGAAGGTTACAGTTTAGTTTTATGGCAAGGGTAGTGTTGGAGCTAAGACAGGGGATTATCTATCCTTTCTGAAATTTATCGCTAGGCCACCTACGCTAAGTGGATGGAGCGCTCCTATCCCCGTGTCCCGTTTAGGTGGCCCTAGAAGTCACCATTACCGAGAAAGCCGACAACTGTGGGGTCTTTTGCCCGCAAAACAGCCTACGATGGTATGTTCGACCCAAGCAGAACCTACACATGCTTGTGGCAGGCTTTGACATGAAGCTTTTTGTCTTACGTTACCTCGAGGAAGCTTTAATCAGACTGGCTGCTGGTAGTATGGACGGGTAACGACAGAATAAAACTAATTCAGCCCGAATTCAGCGCATC